TCCCGCGGGCTGGAGGTGGGAACGATCCCCTTTCGGGCCCGTGGCCGGCCCTGCCCCCTCACCTGGGAGCGAGAGCGGCCCCATCCTTGAACTTTGAGTCCTTCGGGGAAGAGGGCAGGACGCTCTCTCCCGCGCTGCTCTTGAAGCCTGCGCGTTTCCCTCGTCTGTCCGCCTCGGAGTCTTCGACCGTTCGGAGAACGGCAGCTATTGTCCTCCCATTTCGCAGACGACGGAAGGAGATGCGACTTGCCCAGGGCCACACAATTACTTCAGAGCTTAACTGGGATTTAAGCCTGGGCTGCTTGTGATCACACAATAGAGGGAGGGCTTTGAGGCCACAACCCTCCCCTGAAGCAGCAACCCCTTTAGGCGTCTCTCCCCTCTTCCAGAGATTTGGGGGTCTGGGGTAAGGCAGGGGGAGTTCAGTAACAAGGAGACTCTTGGGCATCCATCAAGTTCCTGGGCACCTTATGGTGTCTTGAATTTCCTGCCTACGCTAGTAACTGCTCAGGCCCAGATGTGGGGAAGCATGAAGGAGCCCCCACTCGGGAAGGTCACACCCCCAGAATACGGGAAGGCAGGGTCAGCCACTATCAGGAGGCTTTTGTTGTGCTGAGGGCATCAGGGGCCAGGTGGGGAGAGCATCTCTGGGGCTCTGGCCTCTGGTGCTCCCTCTCCCCCTCTTGGTCCTCCGCAGCCCCTAGCTGGCGGAAATCTCAGCAGGCTCTTTGTTTTCTGTTCCCCACAGCCTGGCCTGGCTCCTGCCCTCACATATGCTTCTGCACAAGCTGCTGTGCTGCCCCCTCCTCCCTTTCCCTCACCCTCCTCCCTCCTCCCTGCAGTGTACACACTGACTCCTACAGACACACGGTCCCATTGTCTCCTCCACTGCTCTTCTGCGGCCCTCTGGTTTCCAGATGAGGCCAGCTGAGCCACCCCCCCCAGCCTGACCCACCCAGACTGCCTCAGGGAAGAGGGGGCTGTCAGGCCCATTTCCCTCCACCTTCTCCTTGGCCCCCTTCGCAGCTTCTGCCCCTCCCCCTCCCGGAAATCCCCTCTTCCTCTCCCACAGTCCCCTCCCCCCATCCTGTCTTCTTCCCTGGGCCTGGGCCTCCACTGCACAGCCTAAAGCTGCCTCTGCCCCTGCCCCTCCCCTCCCCCAGTGCCTGAGCTATGCTGCGAGGCCTCTGGAGGAAGAGGTGGTTGGGCAGGTCCTGCTCCTCACCGTCACCCCCTGCCCTACAAGCAAGAGTGTCCACAGCCCTGCCCTGGCGGGGCCCCAAGCTGCAGGCTAAGCTTCTGCCTGAAGCCTGGGGACTTGCCTCAGTCCCCTCCCTGTCTCCCAAACCACTAAGTCAGCACATTCCTGAAGCAGCCAAGTGGACCCCCCTCCCCCCGGGCCCACCCCTCTTTCCCTGCTGCTGCCTGAGCTATTACTCAGGTTGGTTCAGGAAGGCTGGCTGCCCTGTGGGCGCAGACACACCCCTTCAGTGCCTGTGCAAGTACTGTCCTTGGCATGGCTGCCATGGCCAGTGGTATGGAGTGAGGGGCAAGGAAGTGGGTTCCAGAAATCCTCTGGACACCTGAGTATGGACCACCCAGGCCCTGGAGAGTGCTTCCAGAACAGGGTTGCCAGGTGGCGTCTGCTCCCACTGGGATCCCCACCTGCCTCCCACCAACCTGACTCAGACCTGCCAGGAATGCCATGCCCGAGGGCATTCAGTCCTGCTGGGTGAGCCCTTGCCTGGCACGGATGACTGGTCCTGCTTGGGGTCAGCGAGGGTACACTGGCAGGAGGAAACATACCAACAGGCTCCTTGGTACTAACAGCTAGGTGGAGACGGAGGGCTGCTGGCTGGGTGGACAGGGTCCACACGCTTCAGAAGCCTACTGAGCAGTGACCAGGGTCTTGGCTGCGTTTGCCTGAACTTTTTCCTTGCCCCAGCTTCTCTTCTATGTGTCGTGTGATATAGTAGAGCCTGTCTGAGCTGTGGGCTCAGGCAGACATATCCAGGTGCTGCTTCCCTTGTGAACCTCTGTTCTTTTATCTGTAAAATGGGAACTCTCTCAACCTCAGGCAGGTGGTAAGTGCTGGGCAGGAGTGTAAACAAGTGTCAGGGAGCATGTCTTTCCTCCCCTTTCCCTTGGGAGACACACCCTCAAAGGGGAAGGAAGGTGTAGGGGAAGGTGGCCCCAAGCTGACCTTTGCCCTGGTTCTTGGCAGGGCACCTTCATGGGGGCTGGTATCCCTGGCACTTAATCTCGGCCCATCCCATCAGCTTTCAGCTCAACCAATGAAAACTAACCTGGGGGGAGGGGTAGCTGGGCAGCTTGTTCTTTCCCAGTCCAGCTGCCATCCTGGGGGGTAGGGCAGCCAGCTGCCACCTGTCGGCCAAGTGCTGTCTGAGGCAGCTGTCTGCCTCACCAGACCCAGACCCCCATCCCCCTCTCCCAGGACGTGGGCTGGGATCTTCTGGGATCCTGGGGAAGTGGGTCCCCTCAGGCCTCTGCTTGCCCTTTTGTCTCAGCTGGGGCTGGCTGGGAACCGGTCTGGTGAGGGAGGAAGGCTGCCCTGGTTGAGGGGTGGGGCCCGGGGCTCTCCTTCCCCTGAGGAGAAGCCTTGACCCTGCCCCTTCCCCCTTTTCAGTGAAGGAGTCTTCAAATGCCCTGAGGACCAGCTTCCTCTGGACTATGCCAAGGTAAGTCCACGTGGCCAGGAAGAAGACCAGGCTTAGGCTGTTGCCTGTGGTGGAGGCTGGAGCTACTGGCAGCCACTGGGCTCAGGGCCAATGTCAACCCAGAGCCTTGGGATCATACGCCCCCACAAAGGTAGCTTGTTCCCTCCCACCAGGCCAGTGTGCAAATGGAGGCCCGTGTTTGCCCTGGAGGGCAGGCACAATGCCCAGCCTGTGGGGGTGCATAGAGCTGCTCTGTGCCCACAAGAAGTGCTCCCACCCCTTCCGGTGGCAAGCCAGACCTGGCTGAAGGCCAGTGCCCCCTCCCCCCCTCCAGCCCCCACATCTCGGGGGAGGAAGCAGAGCGTGGGGGACAGCCTGGACTGAGCAGGCTGATTGGCTGCCTCTCCAGAGGGAGTGTCATGTGCAGGCACATTGGGATCCAGCACCAGAGCAGACACCACCTGCTGTAGCCCTTCACCCCTGGACACAGGGGCAGATGGCCCAAGAGAGGCTACTGCTGGCTCTAAGGTAGAGCCACTCTCTTGGGGGCGGGGGTGGGAGTGGGAGACGGCAGGCTCTGACCCTGGCCACTTCCCCCCATCCCTTCCCCCAGATCTACCCAGATCCAGAGCTAGAAGTACAGGTGTTGGGCCTGCCTATCCGCTGCATCCATAGTGAGGAGGGCTGCCGCTGGAGTGGGCCACTTCGTCACCTACAGGTGAGGCTTGGATGTGAGGGGCTAGAACTGTCCCTCCCCTGGCAGGCACTAACTATAGCCCTTCCCACCAGGGCCACCTGAACACCTGCAGCTTCAATGTTGTCCCCTGCCCGAATCGCTGCCCCACCAAGCTGAGCCGCCGTGATCTGCCTGCACACCTGCAGCACGACTGCCCCAAACGGCGCCTTAAGTGCGAGTTCTGTGGCTGTGACTTCAGCGGGGAGGCCTATGAGGTGGGTTAGGTATGGCTGAGGATGGGACTGGAAGCACCTGATGGCCTAGGCAACCTTTTATTTTTTTTTATTTATTTATTTTGAATTGGAGTCTCACTCTGTCGCCCAGACTGGAGTGCAGTGGCCGCGCCCGGCCACCGCAGCCTCAACCTGCTGGGCTCCAGCGATCCTTCCACCTCAGCCTTCCAAGTAGCCAGAATTACAGGCATGCGCTACCACGCCCGGCTGATTTTTTTATTTATTGTAGAGATGAGATCTCGCTGCCCAGGTGGGTCTCGAACCCTCGGGCTCAGGCAATCCACTCACCTCAGCCTCCCAAAGGCACGGGATTACAAGCTGAGCCACCGAGCCCGGCTAGGCAACCTTTTAATTCAGCACCTCTGGCATTTCCACAGAGCCATGAGGGCCTGTGCCCACAAGAGAGTGTGTACTGTGAGAACAAGTGTGGTGCCCGCATGATGCGGCGGCTGCTGGCCCAGCATGCCACGTCAGAGTGTCCCAAGCGCACCCAGCCTTGTACCTACTGTGCAAAGGAATTCGTCTTTGACACTATCCAGGTGAGGCCCTTCCTGAGCTGTGGCTGTGGGGCAGGTGACAGGGAGTCAGGCTCTTAACCACTGCTTCTCTGCCTCTACGGCCCCAGAGCCACCAGTACCAGTGCCCAAGGCTGCCTGTGCCCTGCCCCAACCAGTGTGGCGTGGGCACCGTGGCTCGGGAGGATCTGCCAGGCCATCTGAAGGACAGCTGTAGCACTGCTCTAGTGCTGTGTCCATTCAAAGACTCCGGCTGCAAGCACAGGGTGAGATGCCCCTTCTCCTTTCTGTCAGCCCCCCCTTTTACCCTTGAAGCCCTAGATGGGAGCTAGGCTTCCTGATGCCACTTAGGCCTTGATGGTCCCTGCTCTACTACACGAAAGCCTTCAGTCCTCCCCTTGCCGCCGGTTCCAGCCTCCTAGCACCCTCTGTCTTCACCCAGAGCTGGATGCCTGCTAGCCTGTACCTGCACCTCTCCCCTGGGTCTTCTCCTATTGACAACTCTCCTCCCTTCCCCCATGGCCTGGGGCTTTGCCCACAGTGCCCCAAGCTGGCAATGGCACGGCATGTGGAGGAGAGTGTGAAGCCACATCTGGCCATGATGTGTGCTCTGGTGAGCCGGCAACGGCAGGAGCTGCAGGAGCTGCGGCGAGAGCTGGAGGAGCTGTCAGTGGGCAGCGATGGCGTGCTCATCTGGAAGATCGGCAGCTACGGGCGGCGGCTGCAGGAGGCCAAGACCAAGCCCAACCTTGAGTGCTTCAGCCCGGCCTTCTACACACATAAGTATGGTTATAAGCTGCAGGTGTCTGCATTCCTCAATGGCAATGGCAGTGGCGAGGGCACACATCTCTCGCTTTACATTCGCGTGCTGCCAGGTGCCTTTGACAATCTCCTTGAGTGGCCCTTTGCCCGCCGTGTCACCTTCTCCCTGCTGGATCAGAGCGACCCCGGGCTGGCGAAGCCACAGCATGTCACTGAGACCTTCCACCCTGACCCAAACTGGAAGAATTTCCAAAAGCCAGGCACTTGGCGGGGCTCCCTGGACGAGAGTTCTTTGGGCTTTGGTTACCCCAAGTTCATCTCCCACCAGGACATCCGAAAGCGAAACTATGTGCGAGATGATGCGGTCTTCATCCGGGCCTCTGTTGAACTGCCCCGGAAGATCCTCAGCTGAGTGCAGGCGGGGCTCCAGGGGAAAAGGGGTCATGACCTCAGGCACTGGCTGAACTCGGAGAGGGGCCGGACCCCCATCAGCTGCTTATGCTGTCTAGGTTCTGTTGCCCCGTTCTCCCTCCTCCCCTTCACCACCACCCTCAGGTGCCTCCAATTGGTGCTTCAGCCCTGGCCCCTGGGGGGTGCAGGTCTTTGGGTCATCAAGGGCTGGAAACAAGTGATCCTAGGGCCTGTCTCCCTTCCCGGGCAGAGCCAACATGCCTTGGTGCCGGCCACACCCTATCCAGACTGAGGTGCCTGCTCAGGTGCTATGTCCCAAGAGCCATAGGGGGGTGGGAGTTGGGCATGGGAAAAGGGTAGTTAAAAGACTCTGTCTTGAGATCTGATTTCTTTTCCCCTTTCTTCAGCTGTGCCTCTTCTGGTTATTTATTTCATTAGTGCCAGGAGGGCACAGCAGGGAAACCCTGATTTTTAATAAACTTTGAATTGTATTTATTAAATTGGTTCCAGCCTGACTCATGTGGTTTGGTTAGAACCCTGAGGGGCAGAGCACAACTGAAGGTGAAGAACCAGACCAGTGAAGGCTGCTGCCACTCTGGCCCCAGGATCCAGCCACTCCACTGGTTCATCCTCTGGTGGAGGACAGGGGAATTGCACCAGGCTTTGTATGGAAGACATTCTCACCTGCCGCTGTCCTCTAGTGAGTAGATGCGGGAGATGCATGGCTTTTCTGTACACCACCAAACACTAGAGCCTCTGCCTCTTAGTCTAATGAACTGACTGCCAACACTGCTAAGCACTTTGTGCACATTATTTCATTTACTACAGGCCAAGTGAAATAGATTTTATCACCATAATAAAAGGATATCTTAGTGGGCTCTGGTGAAGAGTTAATGAGATCGTACATATCTGGCCCAGAATAAGTGCTGAGTGTTATCTATCCCAGGCTACACCCAGGGACTAAGCTGAGCAAAGGGGCCGTCAAGGTGTACAAGGCACTTGGATCTCCTATCTCATTTGATTTTTCATACAGACCTCAATGGAGACATGTGACTATCTACTTCATCAATGAAATAGAAACAGAGTACTTAGAAGGCTGAGGCAGAAGGATTGCCTGAGCCCGGCAGGTTGAAGCTGTGGTGGCCATGAGCATGCCACTGCACTCCAACCTGGGCGACAAGAGTGAGACTCCAACTCAAAAAAAAAAAAGAGGAACAGAGGAGTGAACTGACTCATCAGTGATCCTTCAGCTGGTTCCCAGCAGGGCTTGAATTCTGTTAAAGACTCCAGCAGACCCTAGAAGTGTCGCTCTAATTTTGGCAATAAATTCAGGTTTGAGTCCTTGCTGTGCTTGCTTCTGGCAAGTCACTTAGCTACATGGGGCATCATCACCCTCACTGATAAAAGCCTGTTCGCTATCTAGATTTGTTGTAAAGATTAAGTGAACTGCTCAGCATAAAGTACCTTACTGTCTTGCCTATCTCTGAGAAGAAGGCAAATGTATGGGAAGTGTTACCTAGTAAGGAAGGTTCAGGAGATATAGTTCTCGTCCATAAAAAAGGCTTTTATCAGGTGATGGAACAGGATGGGGTCCTGTCTGGGCTTCTTCAGGTAACCCATCTTGCTAGAGTCTGATACCTGGAAACTGGTATGGAAAATCATGGGCTGTAACAGAGGAAATGTTTTCGGTCAACAAGCAGAACCACCCAAGTATCCCAATAAAAGCCAGACACCTGGATGGAACTTGGGCTCCCTCTGCTATCAGGACACTCATTGCAAGATTCCAGGGGCACCTTCACAGACTGGATGGTGCCTCCTAGAGTGTGCAACCATGGGGCCTTGTAGTCCGCTCCATACTCGGCCAGCCTGGCATGCCTGGCCCTCATTCCAGTGCTAGTCATAACTGCTTTGTGAAGCTCAGGCTAGGTGCTGTGTTGAAGGGCACAATACAGAAAGAGGCATGCTCAAGAAGGAAGAGTGCTTGGAACTCAACATCCCGAGTCCCTGGAGACTCTTGGTTCCAAGAGTCTACCTTCTCTGAATCTCACATCCTATGGAATCAGTTTTTCCTTCCTTCACATTTTAGCTCAAATTCAAACTCAGCAGAAAAGGGAGGATAACTGCAGTCACTCTGACTGGATCTAAGCACAAGAAAATTCGCAATCACCAAGAGGGGCCAGTTGTGTTGCAGATTACAGTGCTTATTACCTTCACCTCTGTCAGCAGCCATCAGAAATTCCAAAGTGCTGGAGATGGGAGAAGGGATGGGGGAGGGAGGTTTAAAGTTTTAGTTGGCAGCTGGGCATGGTGGCTCACAACTGTAATCCCAGCACTTCAGGAGGCAGAAGCAAGAAGATTGCCTGAGTCCACAGATTCAAGACCAGACTGGGCAATGTGGCGATACTTCGTCTCTACAACAAATTTAAAAATTAGCTGAGCATGGTGGTGCATGCCTATAGTTCCAGCTACTTGTAAGGCTGAGGTGGAAGGATCACCTGAGCCCAGCAGGATGAGGGGGTGGCTGTGAGTGTGGAACTGCACTCCAGCCTGAGCGACAGAGACACCAATTCAAAAGAAAAAAGGTTTTAGTTGGCTTATTAGCAAATGAGATCCCCATTTCTCAATGATTGATGGCCCTTGGAATGAAAGTGGCAGGATCCTTGGGGTCTCCAGTGAGGGGCAGCAAATCATACCTAACCGCCAATTTTTATACCAAGTCTCTAGCCTAGAGAGAGGACCAGCCAACTGGGTACCACCCGGGTTTGCCTGACAGTCAGTGCCCTATAATTACCATAGGGATAATGGACTGGGGAAGGTTTTTGGGTGGGATAAATACTACAGGGATTCCCCCCTCTTAAAGTGAGGAATTGCTCCTCTTCTAGCAAGTGAGACATGTTACAAATTCATAAGAAAAAGTTACTCCAAACACTCACAGCATTAAACGAATAGGACAAGCTCAAAAGGTTAGTTTTTTCTTTTTTACTGGTTTATAGTCATCTTAAAAACCCCATCACACCCATAAACCACCACAGGTGAGAAGGTGAGAGAGATGGAGAATGAATGCTACAGTATGTGGATAGACTGGGGAATCCAGGTATCCCTAGGGGTAGTGAGGGAGGGAGGCAGGGAGCGTGGCGAGGAGGCCCTAGCTTGGACCCTTATTGCTGGTTGGGGGTTGGCTGGCAGAGGGGGGAGGAACTCAGGTTGAACTAGGAAACATCTCACACCAAAGGCGAGGGCAGCTGGGGCGCGGGGGGATCACAGTACATTTTCCATGCAGACTAGGGGTGGGAGTGAGAGCTTCAGAGACTTGCACCCCTACATAGGAAATGGGTTTGAGGTTGTTTGACTTAAAGCCCCCAAGTTGGTGTCTGGTCCAATTTCCTAAAATGGCAGCTCACCTTTCAGAGAGAGGTATGGGGGGAGGATTACAGCAAGAGTATCTGGTTTGAAGATCAAGCAAGGGGTAAGGGGAGACAGTGGTACTCTTTAAATTTGACTCAGAAAAGCAGGAATTGGAAGAGGGCCCTGGGTGAGATCGTGGCCAACACCTTGGGAAAAGGCATTGCACCAGAAGCTGTAAGTACTCCTGAGGGCTCAGGGACAGGGAGGTACCAGTGTTCACAGACGGCAGGTAAACAATCGGGAACAATAAATTAGGACTTCATGTTGCTATCATTTGGCATAACACAATCAGGCATTTTGTTCCTTTTTTTCTTTTTAAATATAAGGCAACTTGCCAACACATAATTTAAAAACTGGTCTTCAGTCACATTGCTTCAGATTAACACTAGAGAATTTCTGGCTAAAGAACAGTGGATAGTAAATAAAATGCAAAATCTTAAATAAGAACATCAGGGCACACGCCCCAGAGACGAGGAAAGGAAAGGGCTTATCTGATTTAAAAAAAAAAAAAAAAAAAAGAGCCCAACTGTGCATCTTTAACAGAAGGGTCAAAATTTTATAACAAACATAATCTAAGTTACAGAAAAGTGTTGAATTTCTAGCCAACTAATTGTCACTTGGGAACGAGACACGCTGAGCATGGAGTGGATGAGGGTATGCTCTAAGAATGGATATGAGGCAGGAGGGGCAGTTTCCAATGTAGGCCCATCTCCAGCTGTCAGAACCATGCTCATTTGGTAAAGAAAGTATTCAAAGAGCTTAAGGCTTTGTGTTTGTATATTCTTCTTTCTTCATTAAACTGAGGGGCTGCACTAGAGGGTAAATGTACCTGTGGGGGCCACTCATACACAACGCTACTCAAACCCACACTACATTCATACAGAAACATGACATTTAAAACTTACAGTGTAGAGCAATATTCTTAGCCAGTGTAGAGAGAACCAAATGCATTTTACTTTTTTTTTTTTTTTTTGGTGTTTTTAATCCCAAACTCCAATGTGATCATTCCTTACCTACCTAATTCCTCAAGTAAGGTAGTTTTAAATTTTGTTTTGCTTGAGTTTTTTGAGGGGGGAAAAGGTAGGGAACAGGGGCAGCAGGTAAGTTAGGAGAGGTGACAATGACATAGGGATCCTGGGAATGCGTCAGTTTCTCTCTCGGTCTGGAAAGGGAAGTCAGGAACCAAGACGTCAACACAAACTTTTTCCCCCCATGTCTCAAGGCTGTGGTCAGATACCTGCAGGATGCCCTTGAGGCCCAGTGTGGCAAGGACAAGTGCAGTGGCTCTGGGATCAGTGTAGACAAAACAAAGTCTTGAGGAACAGAAAGAAACTGAAAGGAGATGAAGACTGGGCCAGTTTTGATTTGAGATCTTTGGATGAATAAGGAATCTGCTTACAGAGCACTTGGGAAGTCTTGCTTCTTAGTCCCAAATAGAGCGAGACGGAGACAGAGACAGGCCTAGCTTAGGGGCCTGACACCCAGAGCTACCTCAACTAGAGCCCTTCCCACACCTCAGCCCTGAGCACAACAGGCAGAGGTTCAAGAGAGGATGTGTGGAGGTTGGTTGGAAACGGCCATGATGGAGAGTGACTGATGGGCAGGCAGCGGAGAGAAAGCTTGGGGTGGGGTTAGGTTCTAACATAAAACCAAAAGTCGCTAGAGGGGAGGAGAGGCCCCCTTCTGTCCGCAATAGATCTCACCAAATTCCCTCTCAGACATCTCAGAATGATCACACTGGAGTAGTAAAACTTTGAAACTATCCAGTTACTTAAAAGTAGACTAAACCTAGGAGGGTGATGTAGGATGTGTTGCTTGTGGCGGGCGCCAGGGCCACCTATCTATACCCTGGGTGCTGAATATGAAGACTTCGACTATCTGTGGGATCAGGGGCTCGGCTGCCAGGGGCTCGGTGGGCCTTGCTCAGCATGGCCAGGCTCTGTTCTCGGAAGCAGGCCTGTTGGAAATCCCCACTCAGGTAATCCACTGTTTGCATCAAGCTGTTCTGGCTTGCCACTGGACCACCCCCGGTCCCTGCTCGGTAGTGGGCCCCAGGAGCTGCTGCACAGTCGAGGGGTGCCCCTGTGGGCTGCCCACCATGGAACGGCATGGTGAGGTCCTGAGACCCCGAGCTGTCGCTATTGGGAGTGGGCAGAATGTTGTTCCACAGGGGCTGGAAGTAGTGACCATTGGGGTAGGCCAATGGGGCTGCCAGGCCGTTGACTGGTGGGGATGGGGTCGGCTTTTCCAGGGCTGGCTTCAGATGGAAGGACTGTGCCAGGCAGAGTTCCTGCGGGTAGGCAGGGGCCTTGCCCACAAAGCCAGGCCCTGCCAACTCGCGTCCTGCCGCATGCTTGCCTGTCAGGCCAGGAGCTGGCGTCCCACCAGCCTCGCTGCACATCTGCTGTAGGTGGGCCAGCTGGTGCTGGTTCCAGGCGACTGGCTTGAGGTCGCTAGGGTAGCCTGTGGGGGCTCGAGAGATGCCCGTGGGCAGGTTGACAGGACCTGCGGCAGGCAGTGCGGCTGTGGCCGCATGGGCGTGCTCCATGGGATTGACCACACATGAAGGCATTGGTGTGGGGACGCTGTGGGTCGACACCCGGGTGCTTGCATTGATGAGCAGACTGCGACTAATGGGGCTGGGGTTGGCGATCTGACCCTCACACACTGAGGTAGTGCTGATGCCTGCCCTCGTCTGGCAAAACTGGTTGATCTGGTGCACGATGCTGCTCAGGTCCGGAGGCTGGCTGTGCTGCAGGGTGGCCGCCATTGAAAGGGGAATAGTTGAGGTAGACACGGTCACATTCGGGGGGGCATCTGAGTCTGGCATCTTTCGGCCTCCATGCAGCAAGGGATTGGGAGGGTGCTGGAGACCCTGGTGAGCCAGGGCCTGAGGGTGAACCAAGCCCTGGGTTTGGGCCATGGACTGAGGGTGGCCCAGGCCCTGAGGCTGCTGGAGGCTCTGAGGGTGGGACAGTGCCTGGGGCGGCGGGATACCCTGAGGGTGCTGCAGCGTCTGGGGAGGGGCATGGGCCAGGGTCTGTGCATGCTGCAGGGCCTGCTGGCGGGCCAGAGCCTGGGCCTGGGGGTGGGCTAAAGTGCTGGGTGCCACAGTAGCATAGGGTGCCACTGGGGGGTTCATGATGGCCTCAGGGAGCAACCGGGCTCGGGTGCCGTCAAAGTCCTTGAGTATGCTTTTGGCTGGCACTTTGACAATGGCAAGCAGGCCTGCCTTGGTGGCAGCCTGCGTCGGGTATGGGCTGTAGCGCTGGGCTGATGTGTCGAGGCCGTTCACAGTACGACGAACGTGTTTCCGCTGGGGAACCTTCACACTGTTGGGGAAGATTTTTATAGTCAGTGGGTTGTTTGCGACCTTCTTAGCATATGCATCCAATTCGGCTGGGGTAGGATAGTGAGCAGTTCTCATTTTCTGTGTAGTGTCCCCTAGAGAGAGAGAATGGGAAGGAGAGCAAAGAGGGAGAGGGAGCTCATCAGTGCCATGCCAACCAGCCCTTCTAGGCTTCCCTTTTGAGGGCCTGGGGCAGGGTGTGTGTGGGAATAACCAGGTTGTCATCTGTCACCTTCATCCTAGACCCAGCCTCAGCCCTCACAGTACCAAGTGCTGCTAACATTTTAGTAAGTGCTTACAGCGGGCCAGGCCTTGTGCTAAGTGACAGGCTACCTCAGTGAATCCTTGCTCTTTGGAAGGCAGGTGCCACCAAGAATATCATTTTATGAATGAGGTAACTAACTAGAGATCAGAATAGCAAAGCATCTCTCAACATCCCATGTCTTAGAGAGCCAGAACTTGGCCAGTTCTCACAGAGGTAGCCAACAGTTCTTTTCACTCTGCATAGACAAAGAGGGGCTTGAACTCTAAGTTCTTACCAGTGATGCTGGTCGGAGGGTTGAAGGATCTAAAGCAGAGCTTGGTGGCCATTCAGCCCCTTCCCAATGACACTCAAGGAAAGGGGGTACCTACAGTTACTACTCTTCCGTCTGCAGTGGCCAATGAGGCATCAGCTTTCCCTGGTGCCCTGGCAGCTGGCTGGGCACCCTGGCACAGAGGACAGAATGCTTCCTTTTCAGGAGCAGAGGAATAAGCTGCCAGCATCTCTCCCCATCCCCATGTCACAAGTTCACTTTTGTTTACAGTTTACTCTATGCCTGACTGGGTGAGGATCAAAAGGCTTTATTTATTTGCTTGTGGAGGATGATAATAATGACAGGGCAGCAGGGAGGGAATTGAGAAGAAAGGACTCAGAACATCTTGAAGTCCAGAGAGCCAAAAATAGTCTGCATTTGGCCCGTGTCAGCTGTCACTTTCCAAAGAGAAAGAGAAAAAACCTGCCTCCTTTGGAGACTGCGGAAATACCCACTCAGTGTGCCTCATTAATGTTAACAGTCTCTTTGTTCCCGACTCCTGTTGCCTCCCATTAGGGGGCTCGGCGGACGTTGGGCTTCCAGTCAAAAAGGAAAAGGTTCTGAGAACAAGAGCTCTCTAAGGATGTGAAGCTCCTGCAAAGGGGTTCTGCTCAGTTCTCTCTCTCTCTGAGGGAGGGTCTCCCCTGAGTATACACAAAAGGTGCTTAATAAATGCTTGCAGAATGAGTGAGTACACAGACTGCCCAAAGATGAAGTGGCTTGGCTGGGAGCCCAGGCTCGGCTAGCTGACTTCTTCTCTACTTCCTCCCCTTGCAGAAGGCAGCCAGGATAAGCCAAGGACTAATCTGACTGAATGCCTGGCTTGTGGCCTCACGTGGCCTTGGCCCAAAAGGACACCCCAATTCATAGTCATGTCACTGGGCATCAACTAGAACAGAGGCAGGCTAGTGAGTGAGTTAGAAGAAAATGGACACCACAGCCTTCATTTGGTGACATTGCTGGTTAGCTGGCAGCAACTGCTTAGAAACCATGGCTCTTGGAAGCAGGAAAAGAAAGCCCAAGTCCAAGAGGGGCAGAGAAATTTTGTCCCATGTTCAAAAAGGCAGACCTGAGCAAAAAAATAATACATACAAGAAGGAAAAGGTCTGTGCTTCCAAATATCTTACTAGATATTCCCACATACTTAAGGCCTGTTTTATTTACTGAGTACAGAACAGAGGCTCATATATACATTAAATGTTTATAAAACAACCTTTTTTTGGGTGGTGGGGGACAGGGTTTCCACTTGGTCGCCCAGGCTGTAGTGCAGTAACACAACCATGGCTCACCACAGCCTCGACCTTCTGGACTCAGGCAATCCTTCCATCTTAGCCTCCCAAGTAGCTGGGACTATAGGTACGCACCACCATGTCCAGCTAGTTTTCCTTTTTTTTTTTTTGTAGAAATGAGGTCTCATTTTGTTTCCCAGGCTGGTCTCAAACTCCTGGGCTCAAGATCCTCCTGCCTTGGCCTTCTAAAGTGCTGGGATTACAGCCATATACTATCGTACCAGGCTTAAAGCAACTGATTTGACAAAAGTCTTAAAAGCATGAGATGTGATGACAACTGAGGGCAAGAAGGGAGAGGCAGAAGGTTCGGAAATCTCTTCCCAGCCACTAGGTGGCACTACCTGTGGTCAGAGTCACAGCTATTAAGAGGAGAGTTTGAGTTCTACTGTTTCTGAGTGCCACTGACCCTCAGTGGGCTTCAGTCACCATAAAGTGGGGCTATTTCTGACCTTCCTTATACTTACACATTCTCCTGGACAAGGACATATATATATATATACACATATATATATTTTTTTTTGAGTTGGAGTCTCACTCTGTTGCCCTGGCTGTAGTGCAGTAGAATGCTTATGGTCACCGCGCCTCGACCTGCTGGCCTCAGGTGATCCTTCAGCCTCAGCCTGCCAAGTACCTGGAACTACAGGCTTGCACTACCATGCTTGACTAACTTTTTGATTTATTGTAGAGATGAGGTCTCACCAAGTTGCCCAGGCTGGCCTCGAACCCATGTGCTCAGGCAATCCTCTCACCTTGGCCTCCCAAACTGCTGGGATTATAGGTGTGAGCCACCACACCCAGACTTTTTTTTTTTTTTTTTTT